TATGCCCCCTGCACCTTATTTCCATCTGTTCAGATCAAAGGGTAACTTGCAAAAATAGCAATTGAAATTGTTCCTGCTCATCCTAATGTAGCTCATCTCTCCCCATTCAAGACCCCACTGCCCCAGAAAGAAACAAATGAACAGCATTCAGCAGCTAAAACTCAGACAATGACAATGTTCACATTAATAGTTTAACCTCATGTGAAGACATAGCAGTCTGATTAACAAAAGATACATTTTGTAGCTGTGTATCAGCACTTGGCGAATGTTAGCAGGAATGAAGTGCATGAATTAAAACATGTCGGTATTTAGCTGTTCTTGATCAGCCAGGAGTCATGTCCTTTGTAAGAACCGTAACCCACAGCGAGCACACCACGGTCCAAATCGGTGCTGCTGCGCGCAGGTTCATCGTACATGCCTTAAAATACATGTTAGTTAGGGGTGAGTGATGGTGACTGATGGGTTTAAAATAACAAGAAAAAAAAATTTCTTGTTGTATTTGAAGATACTTTCAAAAGTGTTTTAATGATTGTACCTGATTGGTAGAATTGGAAGGACTCATGAGAAGCACCAATGGCCACAGAAACCGGTCTAATGATGACCACAGCCTCCTTCAGGGCTTCTTCATGTTACCTACCTGACTACCTGTTATGATTGCTTCATACAAGTCAGTCAGCAGAGGTGGGGGGGGGGGCAGCTCTTGAAGGAAGATAAGGAATGCCAGGCACTGAAATAGAAAAAGGTGGAGCTATACATCAAGAGGATGATTGCACGACGCCGCTTATTTAAGGAAGTGTTTTATGCAGCCTCAGCAAGAATGAGGAACTTAAGTGTCATGAATCATCACGAGGGCATGATCAGCTTCTCAGCAGTTTGTTGCATGATTTGAAAATGTTAAGATTTCACAGAACGTCTGGCTTTTTACACCTCTCACAGTTGTTCACTGAAGTGATTAGGTGGAGGAACCTTCATGACAGTCAGCATTCCTTGGTCTTCTTTGGTCCGAAGTAGTTTTTGCAGGTGTTTCTGGGCTAAGTGACAAAACAGTCCTAGACTTAAACATACTGTGACCAACATCTTGAAAGGCTGTGGTATATTTCTCCTGTTGGTCTGCTTACAAACACTCTCTTAATATCAATACTCTAAAATTAGAATTTTACAGTGAAAATGTCTTTTCCTCTTTTGAGATGTTAGATTTTGAGAATCTAACTACCTTTTACCTAAATACATTTGATGCCATTCATTCCTGAATCATAATGATAGATAAAGAAATATATAGGTCAAACTTCACATTACCAGCCACTTTCACTGAACAAATTAATTGTGCTGTAAAGAGGAGTCCAACTAAGAGGTGGACAAACATTTTTCCCATTACTTGTAAGTGGCGAAACCAGCATCCAAGGTCCTCTGCCAATTTATTAAGGTAATGTAGTTATTTTTTTATTAATTAGAAATACATAAAAATACAAACAAAAGTGTTTTTTTTCCCTTTCAGGCTTGCCAGGGACACGGAGGACTGTGGTTGGCAGTTCCATTTCCCCTGTGAGATTATTCTGTTATCATATGTTGTCTTGTGTCTGTGGTTAAAGCGGTTGAATTGTGTTGACTGCTGTGGGTCATATAGTGTCCTTTAGTCTAGATTGTGTGCTGTGTATGTAGCTTAGTTTCCATTATATTTTTGGGTTAAAGGAATGTGACCATTTTTGGATTTGTTAGACAGGTGTGCATTACCCTGTACCCTTGATCTGCTGTGAATGTGTTGCACTGTTTCTTGGCATTTCATGCTGCTGAATCATGGAGAGAGTGTTGTGTGCAAGGGACCCTGTGCCGACGGTGGAGGAGGCAGACCACATTCCATACCCCCACCTTTGCGGAGAGCAGAACGACAGGGAGCCGAGGTCATAACATAGGCGCCATAACAGAGAAAGAATGTGAATGTTTAGGCTATATAGAGGCTATAAGAAGCTGAGTAACCCGTCACCATTTTGAGATTTGCTGTGACCCTCTGCATGCATGTCTCCCCATCTGGATGGTTTATGCTCATTGTATGGAAATAAATGATTGTTGATTGAGCATTTATACACCGAGTATTGTCCTTCCTTCAGCCCAAAGATTAAAAGAATTGGGAGATTTTAACACCCCCCACAACTCCTGACAACAAGTCTAAGTGTCTTCCCAGAAGCAAACTCTGCCACACACTAAAGACCTTTCTCATACAAATACACAAACACCAGGGACTCACTATGTGCAGTAACCTCGAATGTCTACATCTACATATATCTGTCCCATGGGCTCTTATCTTATTCATATCACTGGTAGCTTTTTGTTCATTATTTCTAAATTTTGAATTCCATTATACACATTTTTTTTGTGATTTAGTTGTCAGTTGTTTAGGTTGTTGTAGTGCTGTGTCACTGTGGACTTATTTAATTTTTCCTTCTCATGTTACATCATGGGGCAGCACGGCGGCACGGTAGTTAGCACTGTTGCTGCACAGCAGACTGGTGACCTGTCCAGGGTGTACCCCACCTCTCGCCCTATGACAGCTGGGATAGGCTCCAGCGCTCCCCGCGACCCTGAAAAGGATAAGCGGAAGCGAATGGATGGATGGATGTTACATCATGTCTTAGAAAAAAATTTAACCTCTTGAATCTTGATTAATTGATCACCAGTCACACAATGCATCTAATATCAGTTATATTGAACTAGTGCATACGGAGAAAACATAAAATTTCCAGTTTATCAAGCAAGCCTCTCCTCTCAGCTCTTTCATACACTTCTCATGATCTCTTGAGTGTCACACATTCACATTTTTTTCACTCCTCCAAAAATACTGAATACTGGTTATGTCTGTTGAGCCACCTCTGGCGCCCTCTTGTGATGTCCCCTTGTATTGCTTGTCAGATTGTTTCTACAGACTGTGATCATTTCTGACAAGAGCAACACCAGCATCACTCATGCCAGTGGATTGAAAAGTGACCAAGTGATCATGGGCCACTGCAATTAACTGCCTGGGATTTTCATGTAAACTTTGAACAACACAAAATCATTGAACTTCACCTTGTTGTTGAAGGCATTTCACATTATGTCAAACATAAACTCGTTCTTTACAGTCATATTAAAACAGGAAGAATACCCACTTTAAATTCTAAGGTTTTAAAAAGGGCTTAAAATGAGGTAAATTAAACCTTTGCATAAACTACAAAGCGTGACATATCACCAAGTCATTATTTAATTCTCAAAAATTCAGCCACAATGCAGAATCACGGTTTTGAAACAGCTAATGCTTCCTTCCATAAGAAGTCTTTAGGGTGTATTTCTCTGCAAGGTGCTGAGAATCAAATATACTTGAACCCACTGCTGTACATTCTGTTAAGCTATGACTGCTCAGTCACAATCTAATTTGGATGAGAGTTTACATTTTTTTAGTTGGACAGAATACTACTCATTTTATTTGATTTAAAATCCATAAAACGTTACAGACTATAGATTCTGATGAAGCAAATGAAGTTAATATTTCATGGAAAATCTTTTAGTAATAATAATGGATTGCATTTATATAGCGCTTTTCAGGAACCCTCAAAGCGCTTTACAATTCCACTATTCATTGACTCTCACATTCATACACTGGTGGAGGCAGCTACAGTTCTAGCCACAGCTGCCCTGGGGCAGACTGACAGAGGCGAGGCTGCCATATTGCGCCATCGGGCCCTCTGGCCAACACCAGTAGGTGAAGTGTCTTTCCCAAGGACACAGCGACCGAGACTGTCCGAGCCGGGGCTCGAACCTGCAACCTTCCAATTACAAGACAAACACCCAACTCTTGAGCCACAATCGCCCCAGGCAGTAATCACATATTTTTGAATCCACAGGTCCTGTTTGTAATTTAAACTAACTTGTCACCTTAGCTTGGAAAATCTCATTAAGAATGTGTGACAAAGGTTAAAGAGAAGAAGTTTTTGTCTTAATTTCTATTCTTCATCTATTTAAAAAAAAAAGAATACAAAAGACAACAAACTATATCACTTTATTTTATGTGTACCTGTAGTGATGACGAGCAAATGTCAGATTGATTTTTAAAGATAATCAAATTAAAGGTTTTAGACAATAAACATTAGCAGCTGAGAACGATATGCAAACCAATATAAAAAAGGCTGAACCGTGATCACTTTGATTACTCATATCATTTATTATGCCTGTATAACTGAGTGATGAGCAGAGGAAGAAAAGAAGCGGCTGAACTATGCAAAGTTCATAAACTGAACTTTAACTTCTGAATAAACCAGTGCAACCTGTCAAACATGTTTCAATGTAAAGACTGTTATTGCCGTTACTGTCATCCACACATTTTTGTCCTCAATTTCCAGAATTACATGTTCAGTGAACTTCAGGTTGAAACCAACCTGTCCTACCCTATTATGTCTGTTCGGTTTTTGAAAATAAATGATAATAAAAACACTATGACATGTAGACATGGTCATATGTAGCGAATAACTGGAAACTGCACAGTGTTTAAGTTGGACTCTAACACATTAACTGACCAGACGAACTGTATATGAGTTATTAAGGGATTGAGGACATAATAAACATGCACAGTCAAACCCATTTTCCCACCAAAGAAGGTGAACTTCTTAAGTTGCTGAGCTTCATGAACAAGGTTTGGGGAATGTAACAAAGCCTTTCAACTAGGTTTCAATAAATGCAATCACATACTGATTGTTTTGTTTAAACAAACATTTAACAATCTAACAAACATTTATTTTCAAATTAGTACATAATGGTTTAATACAAATGATGCCATGTTCTGAACAAGTGGACTGCATCTCTAGAAAAGTGGAGGTCAGGTGGAAGGTCTTCTTTGGTATTAAGTCATTTATGCAGAACTCTGAGGTGCATTTAGAGTTAATGTTGAATGGTATGTGGGCAGATATTAGATTAGCTCCCAAATAAAGGCTAACAGTTGAGGTAAGAATATTACAACCAGAAGAAGCCAAGCACAATAGTTTGCAAAATGAAAGTTTTATTCAGCAGGTCTCAACTGAAATAAGTGGTTACACCATTAAGACCCAGATTTACTAAATCAAGAAAAATCGCGTGTGTACATGTGTCTGTCTGTAATCTTTATCTCATGCAGTGTGAAAGTACATGCAGTTGAATTTGTGTCCACCACTAAAAACAGTCTTGCATTAGAGCACAGTAAATACAGTGAAATTTATGTGCACTCTCCACGGTGCTGAAATTATAACCGTTTAATTTTGTGTAATAAAACTTTATAAAGGAGAAACATTTCTTCCGCCTGACTGAGGTCTGAATATTCCTAGGCCACTCTTCTGTGGAACGAGCTTCCAGTTTGGACTCGGGACACAGACACTGTCTCTACTTTAAAGATTGGGCTTAAAACTTTCCTTTTTGCTAAATCATAAAGCTAGGGATGGATCAGGTGACCCTGAATCCTTCCTTAGTAATGCTGCAATAGGGGTAGGCTGCTGGGGGACTCCCATGATGCATTGCTTTTCAGTCACCTTTTTCACTCACTATGTGTTAATAGACCTCTCTGCATTGAATCATACTTGTTATAGTGACTTTTCCAAGAAGTCACTTGGATGAGCGACGAAATGTTTCTCCCTCTGAAAACAGACAGGATCAGCTATTGCATCAGCGCTTGAGGATATTCTGAGGGAGGGACAGGTGAAGGTAAGGAGTTTTTTAATAAACATTTTCAATGGTTAATGGCATGATATATCACACATTTCTCAACATCAAGCAAGATTAAATCAAGCATTGCTGAACATTTTAACAGAAGCTTTAACCTTCCTGTCGTGTTTGGGTCAAATCTGACTGATTTACAACTTAAAGCAACTTAAAATCATGGTATGAGCCTTGTTTGTGCTGGAGTGATGGATTCTTTCAATAAATCCCAGAAAATCAGTTTGGTTTTATTTTCCACAACAAACAGCATGTAATTAATTTGCTTAAGTGTAATGATATGCTGTTTATACATATTGGTGACTCTCAAAGTTGAGCCAATGGGAACTCAATTGGAATCCATGAAATACCAAATAAATGTTGAAAACCCACATGGATTTTAGAGAAATGTATCAGCAGTACATAATTTGATTTGACTGATACATTTTACCAATGATTTAATATTGTTAACATAGTAAATCCACCCACTCACACACCTGATAAGGAAGGAACAGCAAAAGGTGCATTAATCAGCAATATCATTTCATTGGTATTAATAAGTATTTAAACATTTCTAAATGAAACAAAACTGTCACTGACAACTCTACAGAAAAAGCCAGCAGATATTCAGTAAATCTGCTTTATTCTGGATTAAACACAAAAATCTGCAGAAAACTGGATAGAAATGCATCCCACAAGGGCTGAGGTTCTCTTTCTGAATAAAGCTGATTGATCAACGGATTAATAGTTCTAATGGTAACATCACAAGATGGTTATTAAGTCATACCCACCACTACAGTAAAAACGCAAATGTAAATGTTTATATCTCAATGTGAATTGCAGTTTTGGGAAAAGAGAGACTGGTTAACACCATAAAAAAGATACTGTCTTATAACTCAGTTAATTTAGATAAAACTAAAAAACTAATACCCATAACCACGATCCTACAGTAAGCTGTAGTGTACTGTAAAAACATACCGTTTGAATATCAGAAATTACACATGCTTAAATGGTATTTTAAGTAATTATTTGTCAAATAAGGACAAAATGAGGATGAGTTTACTCCCACCTCATTAGACCAGAGGGCAGATTCCTCGAGTGGCAATCCCACACTGGTTGTACTTGTTCCTGCTCATCTTAATGTATCCCATCTCTCCCCATCCAAGTCCCCAGCTACAGAAAGAAACAAATTAACAACATTTAGCAGCTAAAGCTCACACTTCATGTTCATGTATACGTATCTGTGTATCACCTCTCAGTGAATATTGTAAAGAATGAAATGAACAAATTAAAATATGAGCATCACATGTGGGTATTTACCTGTTCTTGACCAGCCAGTAGTCGTGTCCAGTCAAAGTACCATAACCCACAACCAGCACAGCATGGCCCAAACCTAGGCTGCTGCAGGCCGGCTCATCATACAATCCTGTAAATACATGTCAATCAGACTTACAGGTATAAAGAATAAATTAAGCACCTTCAATTTCTTTTTCTATTTGAAGATATTTTTCTTGGTACTTTCCCCAAAGTGTGTCAATGTCTGCACCTGAATGGTAGAGTTGAAACGATCGATGAGAAGCATCAATGGACACAGATATCGGTCCAAAGGTAGCCACAGCAGACTTCAGTGCAGCTTCATCAGAGTAACTCACATGAACATAGCCAGTGCATTTGGCACCAATAGCATTGGGGTTGTAACGGCATAGTCCATCCTAATTGAGAGAAAATATGTTATAATTTACTATAATTTACTATACTAGATTGAATTGTATTTGAAAGAAGTACAGTAAGTAGTACTACTTTACAAGTCTTGGAACTACTATATATTTTAGCCAGAAACCATCATGACTACCACTGTCTGAATGAGCACATGGCGGTTTCAACTTTGATATTTAGCAAGATGATCATAGTCAGGTAATGAACACCTGAAAATGTACGTTCAAAGATTTTGTTTTAGGAGATCTGGTGTGACAGCAGGTTTTTGAGACATTGCTGTCTAATTACCCTAGCCTCATAAGGGTAGGACGCCTCAGTGTCAATTCCTCCATTGAATATAATGTAGTGAAAAGCCTGGTATGACAAGCCTCCTTGGCAGCCATGGTTCCCAAAGCTGCGAGAGCAGTCCACCAACTGCTGTTCACTCAGAGACACCAATTTTCCTGTCTTCCTGAAGTGCTGACCCTCCAGTGCACCAGTCTGCAATAAACATGAGTTCATCTTAATCCAGAATATATAGCTGATTATACAATATAATTAAGTTGAGCAACGTTTGCCATATTACAACAAATAGAGAACACTAAGTTATATGTACTGACTGCACTGAAGGCCCAGCAGGAGCCACACTTCTTCTGATCCTTGACATCAGTGACATATCCCTTTTCTCTCCAGTCAACAGTGTCGGGCAGATCAATATCTTCAGGTAGCCGGAGAAACGCAGAACCATTGTGAGGCAGGGAAACATTGAGGGAACCAAGGCAGCCCTGGGAAATCAGGTGCTTGTATTCCTCATTTTCCTAATAATAATAATAATACATTTTATTTGAAAGCGCCTTTCAGAACACTCATGGACACTGTACATGGTAGAATAATAAAAGCAACATAATAACATAACATAATAAAGAAGGACATTTTTTTCTTTTCAAATATAATTTTTGCAATCAAAATTTAAATGTTTTTAAAAAGGATTAAACATAACTGGCACATGTTTTTCCGTACATACCATGTCAGCAAAGTAGGTCATACCGAGGCGGTATGACTTGAAACCCTGGTCTGCTAATATGTTGTGAATCAGCACAAATTCACGGTTGTTGAGCCAGATCTGCTTCCGATGAGCCTCCTCTGATGGAGAGTCATAGGACTTTTCTGCCAGTTGGAAAATGAAAAAATCATAAAGAGAACAAAGGAATTATGAATAAAGAATAAAAATTGAATTTCTGGTAAGAGATACCCTTTTATTCCTTTTAAAATTTTCTACAAGTACACGTAAGGGTTAGTTCACATTTTTTCTCAGAATTTGAGGTTTACTAAGCATATTTTAAAGACCACAAAACATGAACAACAGCATTTCACACAAGGCTAAACTAAAAGAGGAGAAAAGGGTCTACTGTCTCACCAAACTTGAGCTTCCATGCATGAAACTCCAGATCTCCAAGAGAGATGCTGGCACAGCTGGTCACAGCCAAAAAAGCAGTAACAACTAGAAGCAACTTCATCTTGATTGAAGACAAGCAGAAAAATACAGATCCTTTTGTCTTGCAGAAAACCACACAAAATGTTGCAAAGATTGAGGTTAAGCCAGCTCGGGCTGAGGTACTGTAGTTCTGTAGCAGAGAGAAACAGAGTTCCTATATGGCTAACTATAATAGTTGTATTCCAGTTTGGTGACTCACAGCAGTTCAAAAACATAGTGAAAGAATTTCAGGTGCAGTAAAAGGTGGAGCTATACATTAAGAGGAGGATCACATGATGTTTGCATGATGTCACTCTTTTAACAAAAGTTTTCTTCCTTTCAGCTGATTAGGTATTAGTTATGTCATGACAATCACAAATTTAACAATCCAATCAGAGAACAGGTGTGTTGTTGGTGGGGTGCTTTACTGAGCTTCAGGTCCTGGAGGAATAAATGCCCTTCCACCCCATCGACATGTAGCACTGAGAATGGACATGAATACTGAGTGGTCAAGATCAGGTAAAATCCCTTTCAAATTTTAAGGTTTTACAGTGTTCTTAAAATGAGGTAACCACAACCTCATATGAGCTATAAAACATAACATGTTACACCATGTCATTATTTCTTTAACAAAAAATGTGCAAAATGCTGAAGCACATTGTGTGCAAAGGCTAAAGTATATGCTTACTTACCACCCTTACATGCCTCCCTACAGAGGAGGCTCTGGCCTTTTACAAGTGTACAGTGGAGAGCATCAAGAGCCTGAAAAATAATTTTAAAGTAAACACATTGATTGCTCATTTACGCCTTACATGCTTAGACTTTCAGACTGCCCTCTGGTGGACAAACATTAGCACAAATGGAGGGTTGTTTCGGTTGTCTTTACTTTAAAAATAAATAAACCTTTGATTTTATATATTTCAGTAGCATTTTACTCTCGCATAACAACAACAACAACAACAATAATAATAATAATAATAATAATAATAATAATAATAATAATAATAATAATAATAATAATAATAATAAATCGTTTTTCTGAGTGGAGGCTTAGCTACCCAGGATTTTTGAATTTGTTTATTCATTTGGTTTACCTATATATTCTGTGTTTGATTCCTGTTTTGTTTATTGTGTATATTTCTTTTATGTATTCTTAGCATATTAAGGTTTGTTCTGTTTTTCTACTAGCTTTAGAGTTTACTGTAATTCCTTCCTCATGCCTCCATCCTGTCTTCTCAAGCCTTCCATATAATGGTCATTTATGTGTCTCTATTTTTCCTTTACAGTTTTCTCAATTGTTAAATGTGCACTATTTTAGTTTTAGCTGAAATAGCTCCACACATGGCTCTGCTTATAATCACCCATTATTGTCAACTAAGTGAGCTGTGATGCATTTATACAGGATATTTTGCGTATCACTATGACAGGTGGGAAAAGAAGTAGTTCCTACCAATCATTTACAGAATCCCAGTAATAAAGTTACTTTTCCACTGTTTTTCAGTTCATGAAAAATTACAAATTTATCACAAATGACTAAAATATCAATATTTTAATATGAGAATTGATTCTAGAACATAAATATCTTGTGTCAGAGGCATCAATATTTCACACCACTACTGAATGGCCCAGTCCATCAAACCGTCATTGCCACCACTGTTTCCATGGTTGCTAACGAATCAACCAACTGCTTCTTACTTAAAGCCACCAGCTCTCTAATCTTCCTGAAGTTCTGAACCTCCAATGTGTAAGTCTGCAATAAGGATGAGTCATTTTAAGCCAGACAGGAGTTGAGCAAAGTTTCTTATGTTACAATATGAACAAGTAGTATCAAAGTATCCACTCTGCTCCATTTTCTTTGAGCTTTTAGGGAAGATGAGGCACATGGGAACATAGCTAGGATGAATTAGACCTAACGAGACTGGGAAGCAAAATCAAATACACTGCACACGGGATGAAAGACTGTCAAAATAAAACAGGAAGTACACGACACAGAAATGGGGAAAAGCAAAAGATAAAACACGAGGAGAGGAAAAAGGGAAAAGGGAAAAGGGGAAGGAAGATGAAGCACAGCGACATGACTAAGACACACAGAGCACTAGGGACAAAACAGTCTCTCACAAGTGACACAGAGGTGAGACAAAGACACAAGAGAAACCTCACAGACACACAAGAAAACTTAAAAACATAGAAAGAACTAAACTCGGTGCTAAACTTTAAAAACTTGAACTTAAACCGTCATAATACGAAGAGTCACAAAACACAAAAATAACTGGGGAACACAAAAGTCTGCAGCTGCATTCCACAGGTGCTAAACATTTATGTCTAGATGATGGATTGATGAACAGAACACAGTTTCACAATTTATGTATTTATTTTAACTTGTATTTGTCTTATTTATGAATTTATTCCATTAAACACTGATGCAGGAAAAGAGAGGTTCTTGACCCGACAAATAAAATTATGTTTAGTTACATAACACGGTTAAAAACTTTAAACTAAATTTTGGTCAAATCAGAGGGAACAACTGAGGATAGGTTTCTTCCGACCTCTTCAGACCAGAGGGTACGTTGCATCAGAAGCAATCCCACACTGGTTGGATTTGTTCCTGCTCATCTTAATGTATCCCTTGTCTCCCCATCTGAGACCCCAGCTGCAGAAAGAAACAAGTTGCACAGTTTAACAACATTTAGCTGCTAAAACATTAAAATATGAGCGTCACATGGGAGTAAATACCTGTTCTTGATCAACCAGTAGTCATGTCCATCTTCTGTACCATAACCCACAGCCAGCACATCGTGGTTCAACACTGTCTTGCTGCAGTCGGGCTCATCATACACTCCTGCAAATGCATGTCAATCAGACTGAACAAAAGAACAAATGAAGCATTTCACATTTCTTTTCCAATTTAAAAATGTTTCTCTGCACTTTACAAATATTTTTTCAATGTCTGCACCTGATTGGTAGAATCTGAATGAGTTATGAGAAGCATCGATGCCAACAGATATTGGTCCGATAGTGGCCACAGCCTCCTTCAGGGCGTCTTCGTTACTGGGTTCCACTTCAACATAGCCAGTGCATTTGGCACCAATACCATCAGGCTTGTAACGGCATTGTTGACCCTAATACAGAGAACATATGCAATCATAAGTTTCTACTGCTGTCACA